TCACTTAAGACTTTTGATTTCCTTCGAGTTTCGATTAGCTTTTGATACAGCCCAGATTGGCATAACCATTTGTGGAACTCTAGAATTAAATTAATGCCACAATACATGGTACAAAGTGGTGCAGTGGCAATGCCACTGGCCTAGTAATTCAGATACCTGGGCTAAAACTGAGAGCAGTGGTCTAAATCCCATTATGACAGCAGGAATGTGAATCAATTAAGAAATCTGGAACTGAAAACAAGACTCAGTACCGCTGACTGTGAAACTACTATTGACTGTTGTGAAAACTCATTTAGTTCACTAATGTCCTCAGGGGAGGAAATCTACAGTCCTTACCCAGTCTGACCTACATGTGACTGCGGATCCGTAGAAATGTAGTTGGCTCTCAACAGCTCTCTGAAATGGCCTGTAAATACACCCAGTTTAATTAGGGATTGGGAGTAAATCACATCCCATGAGAGGATATTAAAAAAGTCTCTCATATCACTAGGAGAACAAGTATGAATTGATTCAGTAGCCAGGCAATTGAGGCAGTGTGGGTTGCAGTTTGGAGTAGAAACTTAAGCTTAACTTGCAGGACAATTAAGATTTCATGTGCAAAACTAGAAGTGTTCTTTTTAAAACTGAACTAGTTTGCACAATAAGTGCAACTCTGAGTGCCAACATAGTAGTTACAAATGCAAAAATACATAACTGCATGTGGGAACGTTTTACCAAAGGGTGAGCTTTAATGCAAGGAGACTAGGTTGGTAAATCTGTTTTCCATTACTATCTGTAGAAATGAAACCAGACATACTCAGTCTTCAAATCAGTGGCGACTGGAGAAATTTTTAAAAAGGTACCAATTGATAAAGCCTATGGCTCAAACTTGCCTCAGTGCCTAGCACGTCAGTGATCAGCTTTATCATCCCTTACAAAAAGCAGCAAAATGTTTAGCTAAGGAATAGTGCCAAATGTCACTGGAATTGAAGAATTATACATTTCTTTTTCAAGAATCCAATGCTATAATATTCTACAAGAAATAATTACTAAAATATTGAGAACTTTATGAAGGTGCTCATTCCTCCTAAAACAAAATTGCTAAATTAAAAAAACCTGAAGTCTGCCCCGTCCATAAACTTGAATGGTTGTTAGGGAAAGTTCCTTTGCACTATTGTAGAATGGTTGATCAATCTTCAATTATCAGGATCTGCTAGCACTGGAAACTTCAGAACGGTAAATGACGGGTAATAAGTTTGAATCTTGACCAAAGGAGTCAAAGAGTATCAGGGATTGGGAGGAGCAGCAATCATAATCAGATCGGGCACGATGTTATCAAATAGTGGGGCTAACTTGAGGGGCTGAAAGGGCTATTCCTGCTCTGACACGTGTATATAACTGATAACATTTGTACATGATCAAGGAAGCATTATGGTAAACAACTAAGTAGCCCGTAATGAAGAAAACTTTTATGTGCACCTAGTCTATTTCAAACAACCTCACTCAGCTAAGACCAAAGAAGCAAAATATTCTCACATTTTATTCCACCTAAGGAACATGTAGCCCCAACGTATTCTCCAATGGATGGATTCAGTTCTACAAGTTTCCAGTCACAATCTGGAGTCTCCATCGAGGAATTATCCGAATTGCTCTCTTGTAAGCCTGTATCAACTATGTTTGACAAGATGCCTCAATGTGCATGCAACACTAAATTTTGCTACTGTGAATGCACAGGTTTGAAATTTTGAATTTAGGGAGAAAAAACAGGAGTGCAAGCATCCATAAATACAAAAACTGCTGAAAGGTGTTAATGTGGACAGAGCCAGGAATTTAAATAACAGTTTAATAATTTTTATCTCTAAAAATGTGAAGGCATGTAGATAAATAAGAAGTCAATAGGATTGAGCTTTTAACATCAGGGGCCTCAGTATTTTGTTCAATGGTGCACCAAGCTAAAAGACAAAAGGACAACGATTAATAATATCATACCATGAGCACTTTAGTTATGGGAGTAACCCATTATTGAAAGCATATTGAAGTCTTAGAGAATACAGTCTCATTAAATTTTCAAGGATGAATAATTGCTACAAGTAGATTTGAGGTACTTAGGAAAAAGAGATTTAACATAGGTTTGAAGAGTAAACTATAATGGAGTCGCATAAAGACTTCTTTCTGATGGGAAAGTTAGTGATGAGACATTATCGTTGAAAACGTACACACAGTTGAAGCAGGAGAAGGCACATGTGTGAAACATGAATGATTTAAAACTAATGCCAATCTAAAAAAGAACTAGCATTGACATCACGGATTGAACTGCTCACTTTTGATGCTGGAAACATAATTCCCTCAACATTCACAGCAATTAAAGTGCATTTACAATTTTACTTTAAACCAAAGGCAAAGTATTTTGAGAAGTTTTGCAATAAATTGTAACAACTTTTGTACTAAAAACGGAAAATGCAGGCAATGCAACAGGTTGTCAGTCAGCCAGCATCTTCTCAGAAGATATACCAATGCTCGGGTACTATTTTGGTGTCTACAGTGATGCTCGAAATGGAGATGAAGACGATAATTCCAAAATGAAATGAAATGGGCATTGAAAGAAATAAACTTTCAGGGTTTCATTGATTAAGCTACAGAATGGGACAAAGTGGATTGGTCTCTGCAGTTGGCTTGGAGTTGATGACCGAATGGCCTCCTTTCTGTGTGGTCATGACTATGACACTATGTTCTTGAGAACCAAAGGAGGATACACCAACGACTCATTAATCACCATGGCAATGTGTTGGATACTAGATCATATTTAGATAGAGATGCTGATTCACCATTCTTGAGAATCCAACCTCTTGTTAACTTGGAACTGAATGGACAATTTAAAGCACAATTACTAAAAATCCCAGCATTCCTAACACTTCTCTGAGGAGTCAATATCTATCTATCATTAGCACACAGGCTGCTGCCATTGTTTCAGTGTAAACACCTCACACCTTTCCAGTAAAAGGAAATAGAATTCCTTTAAGATATATGCTAAAAAAAAACACCAAAGTTAGTTTTAAACCGTCTGTCCTCCCACCCCAAACAAGTATTACTGAACAGCTTCATGGAAAATAAAGGACCATAAGAAATAGGTACAGGAGTAGCCTTTGGGCCCCTCCAGTCTGCTCCACCATTCAATAACATCATGGCTATCTCCCCAAAGGGTTATTCGGAGAAAGACAACTCAAGACTGTGGCAGATGACATAAGGAAAGCGTTAATTAATGGGTTAAAAAGTCTATGAAAGCACTACCCTATTGAACTTACGTTCTGAACTCCACAAATTGAGCAAAGTTGAACAATTACTCTGGAAAAGCAAAATGGAAAAAGTCCTCCAGTGCATAGCTCAGATTTTTTGAGAACTGTCAGATCTATTAACCAGAGAAAACTTTGGAGAAAATCAGCAGGTCAGTTGATATCAGTGGAGAGAGAAACAAGTTTCACATCTGATAAAAAACTTTTCTCAGTTCTATTAACTACAGTAGTCATGTTGCATACAGGTCAAAGTCTTGCTGTCTTTCAATAAAGATAGCACAACTAAACATTCTAATTAAGTCTATTCTTTTTAAAAGGCAGCCAATGTCACTGGTGCAATACAGCAATCATTTGCAGAAATTCAACCTAAAAGGCTAATGAGAGGACGCAGCCACTCCAACACTCAAAAAAGAGAAGAAAAATAAGTGTAAGCGCTGAACGACGAAGGGCAGAAGATGAAAAAAAAACGTCTTGGGATGGGAGTCAATGAGAGAGGATGAGATGAGAGAGGATGAGATGGGAGACCAGTTCCTTAGAGGAACATCTGAGCACATTTTGAAAATCCAGGACTGACACGTCAGCTCTAAACCTGCCAGGGGCTGAGCTTCACCATCGCCCCCCGCCCCTCTCCCCCCTCCCTCTCCAAACACAAGAGAGTTAAAATCCGGAGTCAGACAGGAGGTTAAAGGAGCCAGCCAGCCCGTGTGCGGAGGCTGGTGGCAGCGAGGCCCTTGCCGAGGGTTAAAACCGAGCCTGGAGCCGGTGAAAGAGGCGCCAGGTCAGCACCAACCCCCCCCCCCAACAAATGCGGTACCACACACCGGGGCGGCAGCAGCGTCTGCCCCTCCCGCCGCGTTCTGATGTCGTTAAGGACTCTTACCGGGGCCGCCTTGCTGGAAGAGGCAGAGTGGGGAGACCAGCAGCAGTAAGACCAGGAGATTGTGAAGCCTGCCCATGACCCGCTCGCTCTCGGATCCTCACTCACTCAGAATGGCGTCGGTCTCCATCCGGGCACCGCCGAAGGGGCGGGGAGTTGAAAGGTCAGGCCCCGCCCACCCGCGGGTCAGCCACCGTCCGCTCCTGTGTCCATCCACTTTTCCAAATCATTCGATTTGGACGCGGGCGGCAAGCTCGGAGAACGCGGATTTTATTTTCAAAGCAAAAACCTCGTAACATTCAATGAAAGTGCGGGAGAGGCAGGTGGGTTCCCGAAAGGATTTCGAAGTCGGTGCGTGGAAGGGCGGGATTGGGTGTTCTGTCCCTCTGGGGACGCCGTCGGGCCGGGTACGCAGGCGGCCGACGCGCGTGCGTGGCTGCGATGTGGTGACGCTCTCGGCGTAACCAGGGGCAGCGGGGCGGGGAAAATGGCGGACGCAGGGCTGCAGGGACGAGGTGGCGCCCGCCGCCCCGCTCCCGTCGCCTGCGTGTAAACATCACCGCTCCCTCCCCGCCCACCATCCGCTCCTTCTCAGCGCCGACTGTGAACCGCTTCCACCTCCCCCATTACCTCACACCAATAAAATTGGTTTTCTCCGTACAGCCCATGCCCTGGCTATTCAGCAACACACACACGTTGAATGGGGGTACGAGGGAAATAGCGGAGGCCGGGGGTTTGAGACTCCAGCTGCTGCCGTTTCCCACACCACTCCCCAACGTTGAATGTCATTCACTGCTAGTCAGAGTGATGGTCGTTAATATGTCCCTTGATGGAAGGACAATGATGAGTTGCTGCTGCTGACGACTGGACAGTCTGTGCAGACAGGTTTCAGACAGAACTCAGGGGTGCTGCAGCAGGGTAAGTCACATCACATTCCCTCTCTTGCCAACCTTTGCCATGTTTGTGTTGCTGCTGCCTAGGGCTTACCTACCGTCCAAGACACGGTAACAAATTCAAAATATTATGGGCTGAATGTTTAGGACTCAGATGAGGAGAGTTTTTTTTTTCGTTTGTGGATCTTTGACATTCTCTACCTGGAGAGCTGCGATTGCTCAACTGGCAGTCAGTAGATTTTTAGGCACTGAGGGCATTAAGGAATAGTGTGGCAATATAGTGTTCAGGTAGAAAAGCATGCACTTACTGAATGGTGGTGTAGACTCATGAGGGGCAAACACACTATTGCTATTACTCTGAGATAACAAGGTGTAGAGCGTGCGTGGGTGATAACACCTTGTTATCTCAGATTCTGCAGCGTCGGCAGTTCCTACTATTGCTATCACTCTGTTCGTTTTTCTCTTTTTTGTGTCTTCTGTTTTGTTTTGACATTGGGAGGTAGTGCCAAGGACTGCAGAATAAACTCGGCGCTAATCCTTGTAAGCTTTCATCTCAGCTTTCCTAACCTTTCCATTTTTGCCTCTTCACTCACTTTTCTCTCTTTTCCAAACTTTACTTTTAAGTCTTTGGTTTGCTGTCATTTTCCAAATCTGCCTGTCTGTCCCTCAACACCATATTTGAACTTCACCAATTAACTTGCTCAGAGCAGCCCTAACCAAAACCATGTTTGACACATTCCGTGGATGTAGTGCACAATTTTTCTTCAAACTTCATGACTGCGCTGTGACCTTTGACATACTATCTTCTTCAAATTGGCCACCTTGCAGCCGGTGGTAGCCAAACCCCATGGAAGAGTAAAAAAGTCCGACTGAATGAATTCCAACTGCTCACACTTTGGTTATACCTTCTTAGTCAATAATAAACTAGAGAATCTCCGGTATCTCTTTATTCTCCTGCCTCCAGAATCTAATCTTAGTTCTCTTCCTTTTTTTCATGTTTCCCCTCAATTCAAAGACATAGCCTTAGTTTCCATGTATATGCTGATGAAAATGAGGTCTACATCATCCCAGTTTCCTAACCCCCCCCACTGCCTCTTTGTTGTTAGCCTTCTTGTCCAACATCCAGGCTTTTGAATAAGAGTTTTTTTTTCTAATGTAGAAGTCCAAAACCACTGCCTTTGGTCTCCCACAATACACTCTCTCACTCACCACTAATTCTGTTTTCTTTCCCAGTTTCTGTCGTGGGCTGAACCAAATACTTAACGAAAACTTGGGGATAACACAGTATGGGGAGCTGGAGGAACACAGCAGGCCAGGCAGCATCAGAGGACCAAGAAAGTTTTGGGTCGGGACTCTTCTTCATAAATGAACTTGAGTTCAGTTTGACTCCATGTGCAGCTTTTTCTGCTTTTCCTCCTTGATAGGAAAGACTGCCTAATTTCACTTCTGTAATATTATTCATCTCATCCTCCCCTATTTGGTACTGAAACTCTCATCCATGGTTTTGTTACCTCCAGAATCCAGTGCCTCTTCCAACGGTAAATGATGACGGGCCGAGAGCCCAACACCCTCAATCAGCTTTGTCACTGATCTCCTCGTTACTTTCCTTAAATTCTGCTTCAAAAAAAAGGAGCAAAACTCAAAAAAAAATCCTCTATTCTGCATTTCTGTTTCTTCCTCAGTTCGTCCCTGTTTGTCTTTTGTTCCCACCAACAGGGTTGGAAATTAGAATCTTTGTTTTGCACTCCTCTTTTCTACCTCTCAAAACAGATGAAGGAACTAGCTGGCTTCAAAATTCAGCTACTGTTTTGATAATACTGAAGTGAACTTACAGAAAAGGTTATTTATTTTCTTTTTTCTGTTGACATGATCATTTTTTAAAGTTAATTGAATTCAAGACAAAACTTGTAACTGATATTGAGTTCCCTGCTCTGTCTCACCCACAAAATTTCTTTTGTTCAGTAAGAATAGTCCATGTAAATTTAAGCTTGATAGAACTTCATAACTTTTTTCAAATAATTTTTGAACGCATAATACTAAAGAAAACACTGTAATTTATGTGTTTGACTGGCATTTTTTACGTACTAGGGAAGTAGGTAAACTGCACAGTTCAAATTCCACTTGCAAGTTTACAATGCTGTGCAAATAAACTCAGCCTTGAAATCGGCATGAGGAGGTGGAGGTCTCTAAGTGAAGACAATTAATTGTAGCATTGACTTGCACAAATATTTTTGAATTTTTTTTTAACCTTTAGTTTAGATATGCAATTTTCCATTAGAAATTTGGACATGAGAATTTGTAAATTGGGAAAATGTGCCAAAAGTGTGACAACAGAAATTCAGGTCATCCACATCCGTATTTGCAGATAAAGGATTTTTAATATAGATAGTGCTTCATAAATGATACACTCACTAGATGTATTAGTGAAGAAAATGATGTTTTGCTGTTTCTGAATAATAAGATACTAACCTTGAAGACTTGCCTAAGCTTTGAAAAAGAACAGATCAGAAGTATTCTTCAGACAAAGCAATGGCTTGCATCCGAGGTCATATTTCTTCAGAACCAAGGTTGAGTTGTTAACCTTCTCCAGGGTACACAGCAGGTTTCTAGTTTTTCAGAGGACTTTGATATGGCTTCTCCAGAGTAAACAGCTTCATATCAACCTGAAGTGGAAATGTTTATCTTTTACATTCAATAGTTGTAGAACCAGGCATCATAATGTTGTCGGTAATCACAAGGTGCTATGATCCAGATAAGCAGCTGACAATCCAGTGAATGTGTACAATTTTGAATGCGACAAAGAGAAATTTGAATCAAGCTTTGCTTATGTGAACCTATGAAATATAATAATGAAACCTTACTGAAAAATGTGGGCAATTGTATGGATTTGCTTATTTATGTGCTTTGTGAATGTTTGATGTGGTACACCTCTTGCTTGTCTCAAGGAAGATGTATTCTGTGCTATGTGTCTCTGGGTCTCAATTCTGGAACTCCCTTCCCAGCTGCACTGTGGTGTACCTACATCACAGAAACTGCAGCAATTCATGAAGGTAGCTCAGCACCACCTTCTCAAGGGCTATTAGGGATGGGCAGTACATGCAGGTCCAGTCAACAACATAACATACCGTGAATGAATGGAGAAAGAATGGTTATTTTTGAAAAATATGAAAGCATCTACTGAGTTGCAATACGAAATGCACAGGAGACACCTTTCTCTGTGAGGACTAGTAAAGGGTGATCCAATATTAAAAAAAACGAGTTGTACTTTCAATGGAAATGTCAATTTTACTGTGCAGGGTTGGTTGGAGATAACTATTATAGATATAAGAATGTCGTTTGTATAATGTAAACTTAATTTAAACACAATGAAAGTCTGAAGATAATTGAACTTTCGTAGAATCTTGGAATTCCACTGTATGGAAGGAGTCTATTTGGCTGTAATGATTAGGCTGGTTTTCTGTAAACACTAACTGCTGCATAACTGCAAAGTCCTTTTTCCTTGCATTTTCTTCATTCACGTCAGTTTCTCTTTTTTGAATATTTGCCTGTTTTCATTTAAAATGTCAGTCATTGATTCATTGAATTCACACTGACTAGCTTGTGATGGTGTTTATGCTTCACACAAGCCTTTCCAAGCCTTACGTGATCTTGCCCTGACAGCATATTCTTGTGTTCTTTACTCCTTCCTATAATTATCCAACTACATCTTAAATGCATCAATGCCATTGACTCCGAGGGGTGGTATGTCTTATATCCTATCCACTCAGTGATTAAGGATGTTTCTTTGGTTTGGGTTTATTGGTGTCTATTATATTTATGGCCTCGGTTTTGGATTCTCCTGCAAGTACCCCCTCAAACCCCTTCATAGTTTTAAAGGTCACTATTAAATTAGCTCTCAATTTTCCCTTTTGTAGAGATTTGGTTCCTAGTCTGGGGAACGTTTCCTGATTGTCTCCCCTCTGTTCGGGTATCATCCTTGTAAACCTTCTCTAAAGCCTTTGCATCCTCCTTAAAACTTTGAGACCAGAACTATTCATGGTATCCATGTCTGATCCAGTTTTTTGAAAGTTTAACAAAACTTCCCCTCCTTTTCAGTTCAATTGTTCTAAAAAAAAACCCTGTGTTTACTAATGTTCCAGTTGATAAAATGCATGTGGTAACAACTTACTCCTAATTTCTCACTTAATTTGTTGGGCAATTTTAAATTTATGATTCTTATGATTATTAACTTGTGAGTCTGGAAGTACTTTTTCGTCAAGCTTCAACACGCTGAATATATTAATTATTCTTTTTTTAGCCTCGCTTAGAATAAAAAAGCTTCCGTTTATCTCCTCTCTGCTCACACCTAAAGGCTTATCCTTGGTGAATTGCTTTTCCACCAGTGTGATCTTGGCCTTTTCCTAAATTAAGGCAAGTAAAATCTGGGTACAGTAGTCTAACTGCAGTGTACTTTGTAAGCATTACATGTACTCTTGCTACTTATATGGTCAAATGGGAATTCAACTTTTTTGATCAGGTTAGGTGGTTTCCTAAGATTGGAGCCTGAAATTTTCCTTATTGTAAGCTTTTTGTAATTTATTGTAATTTTTGGGGCAATTCAACGCCAGAGTTGTTAAATTATTAGCATGATAGTTAAAACTATTTGTTTTATTTTTGTTGCTGATTCTATCATATTTATTTACAGAAATTTAGCAGCTGTAAAGGAATCATGGGCTAAATGTGTGCAAGCCCATTGACACGATGGGAACGGCATCTTCGCTGATTGGCCCAAATGAAGTCATTGAAGACACAGATGGTGGCGGAGGGGAGGCTTGCGAGATCCCAGTGGAGTTCAAACCAAAGGCCAGACTGTTGCGTAGCTCCTTCAGACGGGGTCCCCGGGTAATTGGTGCAAGCTTTAAATCAACAGCTTCAGTTGACCTTGAGTGTGCTGCGGAATATGAGCGGCTCAAGAAAGAATATGAAATCTTTCGTGTCAGTAAAAATAATGAGATTGCCTCCATGCAGAAAAAGGAAACCAAACTTGACAAGGAAAATAAAAGGTTGAGGGCAGAGCTTCAGGTAAGAACTTGACAGTAAAATGTGGAACCTGTGAAAGATTGTTGGCCTGAAGTGTAAACACTGTTTCTCTCTTCACAAACGCCTTGTTGATGGTTTCTGACTTTTTCTATTTTTAATTCCAGTTTCTGGGATCTGCAGTATTTTGTTTTGGCTTGAAGATCCTTGGTATGTTTGGTTCATGCACCCTAATGCTGTCCAATGCTGTTAAAGCTGCATTATGTAGTAAACCATCGTGTGTGGTCTTCATAGAATCCCTACAGCGTGGAAACAGGCCCTTGGGCCCAATAAGTCCACACCGACCCTCAGAGCATCCTTCCCAGACCCATCCACCTATAATCCACCTAATCTACACATCACTGAACACTATGGGCAATTTAGTATGACCAAACCGCCTAGCCTGCACATCTTTGGACTGTGGGAGGAAACTGGAGCACCCGGAGAAAACCCACACAGACACGGGGAGAATGTGCAAGCTCCACACAGACAGTCGGCCGAGGGTGGAATCGAACTCGGGTCCCTGGCGCTGTGAGGCAGCAGTGCTAACACTGAGCCAATGTGCTGCCGTAAAGTTTCTACACCAGAAAAGAGCACATGGTAAAAAGGGTAATATATTAACATGGATGAAAGATTGGTTAATTAACAGTATGGGATAAAGTAGCCTTTTTGGGGAGCCAAGTTGTATCTGTTGGAATGCTACAGGGGTCTGTGCTAAGTCCTCAACTATTTAGAACCTATATCAATGACTTGGGTGAAGTGACTGAGCATATAAGAGCTAAATTTGCTGATACCAAGATAAATGGGAAAGTAAGTTGTCTAGAACAGGTAGAGATTCTGAAACGGGCATGTGTAAGCGAAGTGGCTTAACATTTGGCTGACATATAAAGGCAAGGTAAAGCTGCCGTAGTCCTACTGGACCATAAGGCTGCTGTCCTGTTAGAGAGAGGACTGGTGGCGGTTTAACCTAAGTGTCAAGAGGTTGAGGAGGAGAGTCCTTTGTGGTAACTTTAGCTTGTGCAGGAATTGAACCTACACTATCGGCTTCGCTCTGCATCGCAAACCAGACATCCAACCAACTGAGCTAAGCATGGTCCGTGTGCTACAATTTTGGAACTTGTGAACTTTTCAACTTTGACAGGAAAAATTGAAAAACAGTGTGCAATGTAAATGGAGAGAGATTAGAGCTCTGATACAGACTGTCCTGGGAGTCCTGTTACATGAATCACAAAATGTGTAGTTACCACCAGTTACTGGGAAAGTACGTGGAATGTTGACATCTATTGCATAGAGAAATGAAATCTAAAAGTAGGGATGTTTCACTGCTGCTGTGCAGAACATTGGTGAGTCCACATCTGTGTAGTTTTGGCCTCTTTATTGGAAGAAGATATAATTTCACTCAAAGCAGTAAGGTTTATTTGCTTAATTCCTGTGATGAAGGACTTGGCTTGTGAAGGAAGGTGGGGTAGTTGGGTCTATACCAATTGGAGTCAAGAAGAACAAAATGTGATTTCTATTGAAAGATCATCCTAGGTGGGTGTTAGGAGAATGTTTCCTCTTTGTGGGAGAGGTGGGGAGACTAGAACAAGGCAGGGAAAAGTTTGAGAATAAGAGGTGTCCTTTTTAGGAATAACAGTTTTATTGAGGGTCATTGATTTGTGGAATTTGCTTCCCCAGAAAGCATTGGATGCTGCATCAGTGAATTATTCAAGGCTGAGTTAGATTATTACATGGGGGAACGAAGGATTATGGGGTGCAGTCAGGAAATTTCGAGTTGTTCACAGATCACATTGAGCTTGCTCTGCCATTTCGAGAGCCAGATGACCTATTCCTGGTCCTGCAGTTCATTTATTTTCATTTGAAACGAAAGAATGATATCTTTTTAAAAAATCAAATTGTTCTGTGCACTTTTTAAGATTGGAAATGTCAACTTCATCAGAGTCGTCTAGAAGAAGCCAAGGCAATATATTACTAAACTACACAAATAAAAGCAAAATACTGTGAATACTGGAAATCTGAAATAACAAGAGAAAATGCTGAGAAACTCAGCAGGTCTGACAGCATCTGTGGAAAAGGTTCTGAAGAAGATTTATAATGGATTCGAAATGTTAACTCTGTTCCTGTTTGCACAGATGCTGCCAGACCTGGAAAGTTTCTTCAGCGTTTTCTGTTTTTAATACTAAACTGAGTTGTATTAGATCTTGCTGAAGGGCTTGAAAGATTCTGCGTATGTGAATTCTCTTTTACATTTTGAACACCAAGTTCGGAATATCATGGTCTTCAAGGGCTTCACTGCTCACTGAATAAGCTTGCTGAGCACTGGGGTTGTGTGCTATTTACTTGCTATAACTTGTCTGATACTGTGTTTGATAGGCTCTCCAGAAAACCTACCAGAAGATACTCCGAGAGAAAGAAAGTGCCCTTGAGGCAAAATACCAGGCCATGGAGAGAGCTGCCACATTTGAGCATGACAGGGATAAAGTAAAAAGGCAGTTCAAGGTAATTGCAGCCAGTAAACACCAGTGCCAGACTGAAGAAAAATATGGTTGGTGTATCAATGCCATGTCCAATCTTTTGTAGACAAATCAAAGTAATATTGAAGTGAATTTACACACTTGCAAACATGAGCCAGTCTTAGGCTGTGATCCTACAGCCCCCGACAGCCAGTTTCAGTGCCTTAGTTGCTCTTCATTGGTTGCACTTTTTCATTATTGAACTAGGGCACTGGATGGAATGGCATTGTTTTTCATTAGCAGCTGTAAAGACTATATCTTTATATTTTTATATATTTTTGATTGTGGATGAAATGAGAAAAGGATTGATTTAAAAGGCAAGGATTGTTGAAGGATTGCTGCATTTTCTAAAAACAAGTTACATGACACTCATTGTAAGTGCTGTTTATACAGCTGTTGGTTCAAGCAGTGGGAACACCTCAATTCCAGATGAATTGAAGCTGGGGGTCAAATGGAGATTTGGCCAGGAGTAAGTAACTGATTGATAACTGGTCACCAATTCACAGACCAATGACCAAGGCTGCCTGCTGTTAACAATTATGTGATTAGCTCCCAAGTAGATGAACAGCTTGTGGGTATGAATATTTGGGCAGAAGCAATTGTACCTCTGGCGGAAAAGGGCTGTATTTCTGTTCTGCAATAAAAAGCGTGTCAGGCCTGAGGATAGCCAGTCTGTTTCCCCTCATCAGTTGCTGTAAACTGTGACATTTAATTAATAAGTCAGAGACACTTCCAAGTGTGAACCAATCACCCTACTCTCCTGCAAACAAGTGAAAATATCTGGAAAAGGATGATTCAGAAACAGTAGCCTGTTTAGAAAAAACACGATAATTTCAGCAGGACAACTGAAATGCCCTACCAAGTCTTTTCCTCCACCCATAACACCCATGGTTTTTTATGTGTCTGTTTGTATTTGTGTGTAGAGTGGGAATTTATATCTGGGTTAGAGTTTTAACTAGTAGATTAAGTATCTTTGATTTATAACTGTCAATCTTCAGTTAGGACCTTTCATTTACAATAAGTAATAATCCTTGTTAAGTACAGAAACCTGGCCTGTAATTTCTGTCAGATTTTGTGAAAGACAGGTAAATTGGGGAATTCTGTTTATTTTTAAAAATCTTTAACTTTTGTGGTGGATTTAGGATCAACAGTTCTTCGTTTCCAGTGTGCTATCTCAGTGAAACATAACACAACAAAACTGGCATTTCCAAATCTAAGTTGACCCATCTATTTTTCACTCTTGGCTGCCAGTCGTTGCTCAGTTGATAGTGTTGTCATCTTAGAGTTCTATGGTTCTGCATTCAAATTGTACTGCAGTAACTTGAACACAAAAATCAGGCTGACGTACCAACACTAATGAGAAAGTGTTTTCTTGACATTTAATCATGCAATGTAGGCTTTGTTGGCTTTACATTTATTGTCCATTGTTTCTTTCCCATCAGAAGTTTGATTGTGAACTGCTGATGTCGATTTGGTATATGTTCCCACACTGCTGTTAGTCGATTTGGTATATGTTCCCACACCTGCTGTTAGTCG